CAGAGCCAGGTGGATCTCTGTGAGTTCGAGGCCAGCCTGGTCTACAGAGTGAGATCCAGGACAGGCACCAAAACTACACAGAGAAACCCTGTCTCAGGGGGAAAAAAAAGAGTCTAAAACTTTCCTTTAGTACCAACTCTTCCATGAATGTGAGCCAACTGTCCTCCTACAGGAACAAACCTCCTGTAAAAATAGATATAGATATAAATATAAATGAAAGCACAGAAATCACTCCATCCAGAGTAGATTTCAAGGCAAATAAATATAGTCATAGCATCTACTCACTACTGTAAAATTTGCTTTGTCAAAATATTTAGTTCCTTCTTTCTGGCTGTTTAAATTGTAGCTAAAGACTATTAAAGTAACACGATTGATCATATCATAATGAAAAAAAAGAAAGAGAAAAAAGCAGTGTCTTCTATTTCTAGGGTACTACTTCTGCCCGTTCTCAGATGCTTAAAAGCTTTACCTGTAGGTCTTATGAAGAAGGCATTGTGTACGGTTTGGCTGCATTCGAGCAATGACAGCTAAGCATTGCACTTTACCATGCATATTAGGAGCACAAATGCACAAGATACTCTTCTCAGTTCTTTCAAAACTATCCAACAAATGATCAGCAGATATAGAGAATGACTTAAATATACAGCAGCGCTTAATAAAGCTTTAATGAACAAGGAAATGAACCCAAGTGGTCATTCTAATGATTGCCATTTCACAGATTACACAAAAAATAATGTTTATACAGGTACTAAGATAAATAAATGAAGTATCAAGGTGGTGGAGGCTACCAGGCAGAACCTGCAGCAATCTGAGTGAGAAGAGCATCTGACTTCTGAGGACTAGGAAGAGACGTTATCCCAGCATACTGGTCACTTTATGGCAGTTTAGTAGTCTATAGATACAAAACAAGTTCTGTTCAACATTTTTGTCTTCTGAGCAGACTTCCATGTCTATTATAGGGAAATGATCTTTCCTTTAAGAAATCATCTCTTATGGTTTGGATGCAAGAGGTACTTCCAAAACCCACATTACACTTTGGTCCCAGCTGGATATGCGTTGAAAACTGCCTCACTACTGGCTAGTCTCCATGGTGCCGGAAGGTGCTACGTAATCTGCTGGGAAAGAACTGTCAACAGCAGTTCTGTTTAGCTGCGGACCCTGTGTGCTACACGACCAACCCACCAGGACGACCGACCCACCAGGCAAGACGTGCCTCCAGGTACAAGAGTGACAAGACTGTCCTGGGAGTAACCAACCACTCTCTGGGAGGATCTGAAGTCTGCTCGGCTCTACCGTAGACCTCGTCCAAAGCCTCTGGTGAGGAAGGTCACAGCCTTACCATAACCAACCACTCTCTGGGAGGTTCTGAAGTCTGCTCGGCTCTACCGTAGACCTTGTCCAAAGCCTCTGGTGAGGAAGGTCACAGCCTTACCGTTCAAGCTACTGCTGTTGTTTTGCTAAACAGACATGCTAAGTATTCTGTTTATGCCCACAGATTAGCACTGCTGTCAGCTTTCCCCAGAGAAGCTTCTCTCTGCTGTGAGCAGCAGTTACTGCAGACTCAAAAATAGTCCAAGTGCTGAGAATAAGTGATGGTTGAATGCTCAGCACTAAATCACCCCGCCAAGGCTCGGGGAACACGGCGGAAGAGTGGACAGAGAACTTAAGAGCCCTGGAAGGGATGGAATAGTGTGGAATGCTGTCTTCCAGGCATATCTGTGGCACTCCTGAATCCTCACTAGCTGAGACTGATTGGAACTGTCAATGTTCTATCACGGAGGGCCAAGGGCTCATAAGACCCTGCCCCTCCCTGAGGCAGTGAAGGACTGGGAGTGGGGAAGGGGGTTCATAAGGCTCTAACCTCTGCTTGAGGATCTATAGGCAATTAATGCTTCATAGGGGAGGGAGAGCAATTTTCTTCAGCAGTAAAGTAATCATGATCCCATACATAACCCTTCACCCATACTCATGTAAATAACCCTAATTAAATTCACTGGTACACACACGGGGGAGGGGTGAACGTAGAAGGGACTGGTTAGAAAAAGGGGGTATCAGGAGTGGAACAAATGAGGGTAATCCGGGGAAAAGAGGGTAATGGGGGTGAACAATGATCAAAATACATTATATGCATATCATAATAAAATGTCATAATGAAACCTGTTGTGTGTGTATTATTAATATATACTAGTGAAATTTTTTTAAAATAAGTACTTCATCTGTTGAAAGCTTGGTCCCTATTGATAGAGCCAATCATTGAGAGGTGGCCTGACCCCAGGGACTTTACTTACTGTACTGATCTATTAATGGATATACAAATTGATAGGCTGATTGGAAAAGTAGTGGGAAGTGGGAAGTAGGGCCTGGTGTGAGGACTTCCGCGATGGGTATAACATGCCTTTATAGAGTATTCCTTATTCCCAGCCTGTTCTTCTTTCTCACTGCTGCCTAGCTGCAGTGACCTAAGCAGTTTTAATCTACCATGCTTTTCCATGGTGTTTCCACCTGGACACAGACCTAAAAACAATAGAGCCAACCAACAATGGACTAAAATTCTGAAATCATGCTCCTCTCTTAGGCTCTTTTTCTTAAGTGACACATCATTTGTCACAGTGATACTAAGTCTGACTAAATATATCCTAACCTCAGTTCTCACAACTCTGGAGGCACAGAATTTAGGGATCCTTAAAGTTCACCCCACTTCCATTCTACATTGAATGGCAAATTAAAATGTCTCATTATGCTACCATATTTGGTACATTATGGACACACGAATCAAGCAAGAACAATCTAAGCATTTTCTGCTTCTCGATTCCTTTTGGACTGTGAAGATGAAATGATAAGTCTCTGTAAGTCTGCTACATAATTCACAAAGAAAAGAAAGAAACTGTGCCTTGAATATACTACCTAGTCTAAGACTGGCCTAAATGCTAGGATAATAAAAACTGTTAATAGTAACTTAAGGTGAAATTCCTAAGACCAAATGAACTCACTGAGTGAGTGAAAAATGACAGGTGTGGTGTGTATACGAACATGTACACACACTGTATCACAAGTGTATACAGATCAAGACAGGCCACTGTATTATTTCAAAAGATCTTTCTTTGCATAATCTCTAGATGCTATCTGTGCATCAACTATTCTGAAAAGAATGTCTTACAAGATACTGGTTACAAGTTGTGGGGGGGGGTGGTCTTGAGAAAATACTGAACAGAGAAAAAGAATAGAAGCAACATAGAATGATTTATAGTATGCACAGATATTAGAACAAAGGTACGCTGTATACACTACAGGTTACTTGATAAAATACAAATGAGCATGACAAGCTGTGAGAATGAGAAACTCCAAACACATAATTTCTCATCTCCAACATATTTTCACCATCACCAACACCTAATGTTTTCAACCAGTAACATATGATTTTGTACTGGGAGGCGAAATTTTTCTTTACTCTTCCTGAAAGCAAACATAAGCAGAGACATCAGCAAAGAGCATATAAAATAATGTCGTGCCTGCTGGGTTAGGAAATTCTCTCTTCACAGAAAACATTCTAGAGACTCTAACCAGTAGAAAAATAAAAGAACGCTGTGTTAAATGTATTTCTATTTTTAAAGGACAGAGGGAAGTCTTATTTATGTCTGACTGCTTATTACACTCACGCTCCATACAGACAGGAAGACAATTGTTTATCCTCACATCCTTGCCTGCAGATCAGTACCACACAGAGTAAGGATACAATGTTTTTGCTTATTAAATGACTAAGTGAAGAGAGGGGCAAACTATAAGGAATCTATCATGAACTGATTAGCTGGGTCCACCTTAGGTCAATATTAGAACTAAAAGGAATGCAATATGGAGTGGGTTGTGAAAAGCAGAACAAAAATGTACTGTATTCAGGTATCCTAGCAAAATGTAGTTTTAAATTTTTAAAAGCTGCATTGTTAAGTATAAATCAATTCAGGATAAGAAGAAAGAAGCCAAACTGGGATGATAAAGACATTTCTTTAAAGCTATAATTCAAGATGTTGGCATAAATAATCTACACACTAAAAATAATCTGTAATTGTAAATGCTAAACCTTTCTACCGTTACATTTCCATATTCTCTTTACCTGAGAGGAATCTGCTTGGGCTAACTGTGTGGTGACCTTCAGTATCTGCTGAAGATTCTGTCCCGAATCTTCAACAAGCAGGTGAGCCAGCAGTAAAAAAACATGTGTGGGGATCACTGTAGTGATCGGAAGCAAGGACTCCACTGCGGCCAGCCAGTCACTGGCTGCAGTCTCATCTCCAATTACTTCAAGAACCCTCCAGGTGGTGAAGATTGAGCCATACATGCTGCTTACAGGAAAAGTAAGCCTGCAGGAGATCTGAAAAATAGACACAAGAAGGCATTAAAACAAGGAGATAAATGTGTCAGAAATATATTCCTACTCCTGACATTCACTTATTTTATAATTCATTATCAAAATCATTCCCTTCAGCAAAATAAATACACACTTTGAGGTCCTGCCAAATAGCTCTCCACCCGCATGTGAGGTAATAGGATTAGACAAAGGGGAAAACAGTTGTTCCATAGAACCTAAGAACACTTGAGCACAGAATTTTCTCATAGTTACAATTCATTCCCAGTTAAGAAAGAGAGGAGAAATAGATCAATATACAAGATCCAGGGGCAGCAGAGTTTGACAAACGCTATTCTCACTTAAAAAAAAGAAAGAAAGAAAAGTGGTCAGCAGTGAGAGGAAAAACAGACACTCCGTTTCATGGCCAGGCCCTGCTAAGTGGCAGCCCCGGGCAGATGGCAGACTTGGACACAGGACAAGTCACACTGGTAACAGACAGTGTGTGGACAAGAACAGCACTGCCTCGGCTTGAGCCTGGTAAGTCATTAGTAGTTGTGAATAACTTCGGCAATAAGATGAAGCCCCCAGCTCTAAGTTGAACAAGACGGAGAAAGAGTGCTTCACTTCAGCAAATCTGAGTAATGGTTCCTCACACAAGTGAAGTGGTGGAGTCAGGTCAAAGGAATGCACAAAACTGTGCACGAATGCTTGAGCAGAAAGGATCCAAGAGAAGCCACAGGCATTACAGAAGCATTTGATACTGTCTGCTAATAGAGTCATTCAAATTTCACAGAAGAGGATGACAGAAATTAACAGCTCTAACTGCCTCTTATCAGAGGATGACTTAGAAAAGTAATCATTGAAAGGATAGGAAATAAAAGTTAACATTGGTAAAAAAAAAAAAAACGTAATAAATGTATTAAGATATAGTATACATGTTATAATATGTGCTCTTTTAAAGTTTATGATTTAGAAGATTTCAGTAATTTATAGAGTTCTGCAACCACCACCAGTACCTATTTTTAGGACACTTTCATCAGTCCCAGGGGAAACTTCAATAGCCGTTCCCCACTCCCCGTCCCTGGAAACCATGCACTGGCATTATAATTTCTATTCTGGCTATTTTATATGATAGAAACCACATAATGTTGTAGCTTTTATGAGAGGTTTCTATGACAGACACCACACAGTCTGTGGCTTCTTTCACTTAGCGTGTTTCCAAGGTGTGTTCATGTCACTGCTTGTGTCAGTACTTTTTATTGCCAAACAGCACTGCATCATATGTATAGGGCTCCTCTCGTCTATCCATTCATGACAGGCAGATAGTTGAGCCATTTCCATTCTGGGAGGCAATTACGAACAATGCTATCAGCATTTCTACAAATGTCTGTGAGACAATATAAGTATACAATTTTCTTGAGCATATGCTAAAGAATGACTATCAGATTTAAAAATTAAATACTACTCTAAAACAAATGTGCAAGTTCTTGCCATACTATTAACTAATATGAAAAGATTCATACAAATATAAGAGATATAGTTTACATAGAATGCTACTTTTTTTTCCAAAAGAGTATGAAGAGAAAAATATTATGTTATTTTATTATAGTTTTATATCATATCGTATTAGACAACAAACCAGTAACTACTAAGCAAAATATTCTATTTGAAAGAGTGAGAATGGTACTACTAGAAACCACAGTGAAAAAGAAGACTTTCATCATGTACCATTTTATACTTTTTAAGCTATGTTAATTTATTACTATTGCAAAAACTTACAAAATTTAAGTTTAAATAATATCTAAACTTAAATACCTTTGTCTCATTAAAAATACTGTTCATAAGAAGATGAGATTTATTAATGACTATGGCCAAGTCCTTTAGATAATGACAACCAATATTGGACTTGAGACATAAAAGATTTGGTCTTCAGGACACCCAAGCTACCTCTTAGATATCATGCAATTTTTATCACTTTACTCATTTGTACAATTTAAATAAAGACTAACTTCTTGCAAAGGTACATGAGGCAGATATGAAACCATCTAATATCTAATAAAGCACTCGGCACAATGCCTGAAGTTACAAACATAGGAAAATATTATCCCTGTCAAATAAAAATAAAACCAGTGGGTATGAGTAGAAAAGACAATAACTGGAAATCAACATGAACTATGAACTAAGTCCAAAGCAGGAGCATTACTCTGACATAGGTAAACAAGGAGAGAAAAGTAATTCCGTATTACTTGAAGTATTGTCTCCTATCTTGCTTTTGTTTGCTTGGTTGCTTAAAGGTAGACCAGCAGTAGGAGATCAAAATGGTAAATAATGTATCACAGTAAGATCCCTTTGCCCCATTGAGAGACAGCTGCCACTGGCATACTTCAGGGGAAGAGTGTCATCAAGGGTTCCTACCCTGAGAGAAAACAAAGGAGGGGGCTGGGACATTCTGCTTTTCAGAAGAAAAAGTCAAAGGATTTATATTATGTGTATTATAGCACAACAGAAAATAGTAACAAACAAAAACCACTGGAAAAAAATATCAGAACTAGCCGGGCGGCGGTGGTGCACGCCTTTAATCCCAGCACTCAGGAGGCAAAGGCAGGTGGATCTCTGTGAGTTTGAGGCCAGCCTGGTCTGCAGAGTGAGTTCCAGGACAGGCTCCAAAAGTACACAGAGAAACCCTGTCTCCGAGGGAAAAAAAAAAAAAAACCTGGCATGATGGCAACACATGTAATTCTGCCATTTGTGCAATGGGGCGGGAGGATCAGGAGTTCAAGACCAAACTAAGCTAAGTGAGATTCTGCTCAAAAAAACAAACAAACCAGGGGCATGGTGGTGTACACCTTTAATCCCAACAAAGGCAAACAGTTCAAGGCCAGCCTAGTTTACATGGAGAGTTAAAGGCTAGCCAGGCTATACAGTAAGTCCCTATCTCAAAAAACATATAAAACACAGGGGAAAAAAACCACAATAACTCAAAAGAAAAAAAAAAGTAAACAAATAAAACACATATCTGAGGGGCTGGAAAGATAGCCCAACAATTAAGAGTACTGGCTGACCTTCTAAAGGACCCAAGGCTGGAAACTGTCCATAACTCTAGTTCCAGGGATCTGTACCTTCATATAGCTTCCATAGGCACATATGTGATACACAGGCATACACCCAGTCAAAACACTGACACACATAAAATCAAAATTTCTAAATAGGTATTAGACAGTTGTCAAAATGTACTTTATTGATTTTTACAAAAGAGTTGGGATTACCTAGTTTTAAAGAGTTTTCCTAAAAATGTTCAGGTGCATTAAGTGTGAACTGTATGTCAGACATAAGACAGTCTTTGTTGAGCTAAAGAGGTCTATGAATACAGTGAAGATGTGCATTAATCTGTAACCCTGACTACAACAGACAACAGACAAAAGGATGGTGACACGGAAACTCAGCACTCAGGAGTCAGAGGCAGGGGGATCTCTGTGAGTTTGAGGCCAGCCTTGTCTATACAACCAGAGATACATAGGGAAACTCTGTCTCAAAACCCAAAAACAAATGTCTTTCTCTCCAGCCCTGTGGTCCCATAAAGAATCTAGATCAGAGTTGAGAAACGTGGGCATACTTGATTATCATCAAATGATAACTCACATCATCTCCAAACATAAGATCTAGGTTTATCCTTAATTTTCAACCAAAAACTCTCAGGAAACCAGAGTTTCAGAAACTTATTGCTAATTTACTATTTTATTTACTATAATTCTACCAAACCACTGCTATTATTTCCTCCTAAATTCAGTATAAAGATAAACTAGTGGATGGAGGACAAGATAGAAGTAACACATTCTGTGCTCTAGAGTTAAAGTGGCAAAATCTTCAATTTAATTCTATCCCTCACAGCACATGTGACTGGAAGACATTCCTGGCCCCTCTGATCTCAGTCTCCTAACTTAGACTTGCGTGCTTTGAGCACAGTCTTGGGACTGGGGCACAGGTCAGCAGGGGATGGAATTGGGACACAGTTCAAAAGTGGACTACCTACTTACCATGTGAGAAACCAGGAATTTCCTCCTAAGCAACATACAGAGGAGAGAGAAGAAAGGAAATGGGGAGGGGATGGATAGAGAAGAAAGGAAATGGGGAGGGGATGGATAGGTACTCACTAGGATAACTAAAATCAATAGACAGCAGTTAGCAAGGATGAAGGGAAAGTGGACTCCTCACATGCTGTGATGGACATTTCTCAGTTACACAGCATTATAATATGACCTACAAATCTACCAAAGAGAAATAAAAGCACATACCTACATAAAATCTTGAACACAAATGTTCATCACAAGTACTCACAGTAAAAAAAAATAAATAAATAAAAGTAAATAGTGCAAGTTCACCCATAGAGGAAGAGAAACAAAACACTGTTCAGCCATCCTACCAGAATAAAAATTGAAACAATGTACCAGTTCACAAAAAAAAAAAAAAAAAAAAAAAAGCCAGTACAAAGGGCCAATCTGTGTGATCCCATCTTTGTGAAGGGCTGGAAGCAGACAACCTCCCCCTAGAAAGCAGATCAGGGGTTGCCCAGGCTGAGGAGAGAGGAGCAGGTTCATGAGGTGTAGTTTCTGAGAAATACTAACAAATGTTCTAAGGCTTGTTGTGGTGACGGATATACCACATTAGACAAATTCAAAGATGCTGGATTGTACATTTGACCTGCACAGTGTATATGTGAATTGCATTCCAATAAACTAATAAAAGTTAGGCGAAAGCACTCATATACTTGTCTAATAAAATAAATAAATCTAAAAATAGGAAGGGCCCCACAGCACGACCTTTGGCACGCTAATCCCTCAGTTACCTCTTCGATAAACTATCTCAACAGGTGTGGTATAACAAAGCAGCTAATACAGAGCATAGAACGAAGTCTACAGTTCTATGAATGACATGATGCTTTGCTACCCATTTCACCAGGGCCCAGAGACTCAGCCGTCACAGCCGAGAACGGCAAACAGGCAGCAAGGGCTGGCAAGGATGATGAGAACCTGTGCTGCAGGTGCTGTAAGAACTTAACTTCAGCTCTAAGTGAGACGATGACAACCTGGAAAACTTCATGACTTTTCAAATTAAGAGACAAATATCCAAGATATTCTCTGCTTCCTGCAATTCCAAATAAAGCCTAGCTAGTACTGTTTTATCAACAGGGCCCATAAATATCATATTTACACACACACACACACACACACACACACACACACACACACACACACAGAGGCTTGCAGTAGATCCTAGCTGAGTCAAGTTATCCTAATTTTTCCATTGACTAGGACAGTTTTATGGAAATGAAATTTGTCATCTGAACAAATAGGAATTCAGCCCTGTCTCCTTTCACTTTATCTCATCAATCTATTTCCATCCCCCATTCCCCCTCAAAACTGTCTTATTGGCAGGTACTCAGTGTGATGCCTTCCTTCCTGGGGCTCTGTGACAACACAGTGGTACCTTGTCAATGGAGGGCACAGGAGACAGGCTGCCTCTTTACCTGAGAGGAGTGACACTTCTCCTCAGCCTCTCCAGCACTCATTACTAGTCAGTGGAACAACAAACTCATGGTGGCTTGCCTTACTCAAATTCTCTCCTTATCGGCCATAATTCATGTACACTGATGCTTTCTTTTATTTTCCATTATCTTGAGAGAATTTCAAACACATTAGAATTACAACTAGTGGCTGATTATTTTTTAACCTGAGGCGATTACAATAGGTGGTTTTAAATTTCACATTTAATAGCCAAATAGAAAAAAAGGGATCTTGTTTTCTACACACTATAAAAAATACTTATTAGATTTTAAAGGGATAAATATCACATTCACAATCGTGCACTTTTTTATATCTTAGGAATGGAAAGATGTTAAGCCATGTTTTATTTCGTGGTTCTCGGCCTTTAGAAATGGAGAAGTCATTACAGTTCTGCATTGGCAGGGTATTTAACCTACAAACTGTACTTCTGAAGAATAGTTTTAGTGATAATCAAACACTAAGTCAGAACCACCAAGAGAAATCATTAAAAACAGCAAATCTATGCCTTTCATAGAAAGCTTTCTGTAATTAATCAATAGAAAAAAAAATGGTCTTATGAGAGGTGCACATCTGCTATGAACAAAATGTGCTAAAGACTGAATACCCACTCAACAATGGACCAGGTAAGTTAATATGTTATATAAGTATAAGGAAAGAAGACATTCAGTTAGACAACTGGCTAAAATATTTTTCACTAAAGCTATTTCCTATGATCAGCTAAGAAATATAAAGCAAAAGCACTTAGGACAGAAAAATGCAAGATGATCAATGACTACCGCAATTTAATGTTAACAATTGACATGGCCGCCCTTTCCTGAAGGCCTGAGGAAAGAGCCACAATTCATTCCCTCGGAGAGCTCATCATAGAGTGAAAGGTAGAAACATGGGCCCTCCACATCAGCACATGGCATTCTCTGCTCAAGGTAAATAAAAGAACTGCTGGGAACACAAAGCACAGTGAATACCGACGTGGGGACTTGAGAACATTCGGCTGTGTCTGGAAGAACAGGCCGTTCATAGAGAGGACACAAAAGAGCATTGTGTGCAAAACTGAAGATTTAGGAAGACTTGGTGAGGGTGAGCCAGGCTGAATTGATAGGTGTGCTTGGAATGCAGAGCCCACACAGGTACCTGGGGGAAAGAATCCCAAGGTAAAACGTGGCTTGCCTTTTTTAAAAGGGTGATGTAAGTCACTCACAGCCTCAAACAGCACAGCATCACAAGGAAGATATTTATAGCATCAATAGTATCCCTTCCTCCCTCATCACCAACAGCTGCTAAAGAGAAAGTCCAGCTACCTATGCTACCAGTGCTGATGAATAAGATATACACACACACCTGAGCAAACAGTAAGCCGAGTCCTTGGGTATTAGGGTTAGGGTGAGCCTCGGTAAATAACACTTGTGATTTAAAGGTACACAATTCAAAGTACATCCTGCCTGAGCAGTAGCATTGGACCCCAGCTCTGGCCCTACCCAGGATCCTATCTTTGTGCTACATGGCAAATTAGGAGATAAGCTATAAAAAAGTTGTTAGAATTCTTGTCTTGCCAGACTATTTAGAGCTCAATAGAATTTCCTTCTCTTACTGGTAAGTCAGACATCTACTTCAAGATTTGAATTATAGTGTAACAATCTGGATTTGGGAAGCTGTAATACATATTTAATTAGTTTCCAGTACATTCTCAAGTAAGGAATACTGATGACTAGACTCTGGCTACTCTAACACCTAACCATGCATGACTAAAGGGACCTCCCTTTTTCCAAATGAAGCCACAAGCACGTTCCAGCTTGTGTTTGTAGTGACCCCCTTCACAGAGACTTTGGGCACTTTACTAGCTTTAGCTTACTTAACTCTCATCCCAAGCCCTAAGAGAGGAGTTGAAAAGTAATACATTTTACCGAAGACAATATGTAAAAAGAGAACGAGCCTACCAGAAATGTCCTAGGACCCAGCCATCTTATGCTACTGTCACAGAAAAAGGAGACTAAAGGCCAACAATGAGGGTCAGTGGGTAAAGGTGCTTGCTCTCAAGCCTGACAACCTGGGTTCAATCTCTGGCATCTCTCCACAGGGCCGAGGGAGAGAACTGAGTCCTGAAAGGTGTCATCTGATTTCCACAAATGTTCACTGACAGTGCACAAACACACATGTTCACACACACACACACACACACACACACACACACACACATACACACACACACAGACACACATGTTCACAAACACACACACACACACACACACACACACACACACACTTTTAAAATAATAGAAAACTAGGAAAGAAAACAGAGACTGAGAACACAGAAGGAAGTGAACAGAACTACCATTCCCACTGCAGCACAGTAAGATTCAGAGTCAACAGCTGCCTGAAGGGACTGTCCTCATCCACGGCCATGCAGTCTCACAAGGCAGTAAAAAAGCATGTGACAGACCTGTTGTCTTCCACTTGAGGCAGGAAAATGTAGTCATACATAAAGACAACAAGAGCCACTGGCCAGGGAGCCTAACATTACATGCCCTATAAATCTTACCCTGACCCCTGAACTTCCAGGCTTTGAGGAACATTCCCTACCTGGGAAAGATCCTGACTAGCAAGATGCTGGACATATATCAATGGACTCTGAGAATGAAGGACTCCATGTTCAAGCATCATGAAGAAGCAGCAAGAGAGGGTTCCGCGGGTAACAGCACTCGCTGCTCTTGCAGAGGACAGGACCCACATCAGTGCCTCGCAACCACCTGTAATTCCAGCTCCAAGAATGTGAAACCCTCTTCTGGCCTCTACAGAAACCCATCTGCATGTGTATAAAGTAGATCTAATAAATAAAAGAAGCACTAAATTAAACAGAAAATTGACCCTTTTCATTTCATTTCTCAGGACTAATCAGGACTGTTAGTGTCTAATGTACTAGAATCTCAAAAAGGAAGAAAGATCATACAGCATTTCAAAAACTTACGGACCATAGGACCATCTAACCTCCCTTCATAGTCCAGAGAAGTATAACATCTCCCACATCACTGCCTGACAAATCTGGAAAGTGCAATGAGTTTACACCTAAACAGAAATTTCATTAGAAGTGACAGAAAATGCACATGGACCCTGAGGAGAAATTAAGAGGAACTCATTACCATGTGGTGGTCATCTCCATAACATTCCCTCTGCAGCACTTCCAAAAGATTCAGGGCCAACTGTTGCCTGGAGGGACCTTCTTCACCCATGGCCAAACAGTCTTCCAAGGCGGTGGAAGACAGTATCTGCAGAAGAGGGACCATGAGCAGCAGGGATGCCTTTGGGATTTTCTGACCCTCAGCAAGAGAGAGGAGCTTCAAAGCTAATCAACAAAATAGGAAGTCACAAATTTTTTTAATTAATACCAATCAAACAAAATGCTGTTTTACCAATGAAATGGAGTTTTTCTTGCCCTTTTACAACCAGCTCAGACACAACTAGGACGAAAAGTCACAGTAAAAATGAGTAACAGTAACATAAAAACCAACTGTATCTTTTTTAAAACTGTTGGTATGTATAACAGAAGAATAAGGATACTTTCAGAGACAACAAATATGCACAAAAGGTATATATAAATCAACTCCAGTTTTTGATCACTGTGAATTTTTTTAACACTATTAAATATTTGTCCTTTATAACATCTCAGCTCCGACTAACAAATAACCAAGAGACCATAAGTCCCTGATCAGTGGACAATGAGGGCAGCACACCTGCTTCTTTGACAAATAAACCAAAAGCCATATTAGCAGATGCTGAAGTGAACAGCAAGGTAAAGCAGGGCCGCCAGTCGGCTAGCCCACGAAGAAGTGGATCACCCAAGTCTCGCAGCACACACCCACAAAACCCTTTTGCAGTAAGTGGTTTCTTCCCATGGGAATTCAGTGTCCACATCAGAGGCACACATACAGATGTGCAGTGAGTAAGCCATGCACAGGACCCCCCGAAGCCTAATTGCAGAATGAGTTAGGATATAAGTAGACTTTTTTTTAACTGTATTTTTAAGGTTACTAAATAAAGTCTGATTTACTTAAAGATGTTATTCATAGGCTTCAGAGTCAAATTATCAAAGTAATCAAGTAATTTCCCCACTGCACCAAAAAAAAGAAAAGAAAAGAAAAATTCTCTGCACACTAAATCATGTCACTATGTCGTCAGTATTTTGTTTTAAATCACTTGGAAGTCAAACCTTAACAAGAGTCAAAGTACAAACACATGTTACTATAACATGATTTTCTCTAAATATTGGCCTTAATCCATAGTTGTCGCTAAGACATTATAAACATCTATTATCTTTTTTAAGAAGAAGGAAACATGTAGCACGCATACTCGATATCATGTTATAAATTTTCCAGATTTTTTAGGCTATTATTATAATCAAGTCTAGTGTTAGTAAGTACACAGTATATTATATTAATGCTTGCATTTTGAATTTGAAATGACTGATATTCTCTTGATTATCTATTACTTTGAAAACTAAATAGTTTCCCAATACACTAAACACTTTCAAATGACAGACAGTCTCAACGATTTTCAGTGTAGTTTATTCCCTTAACCAGGATAACCTCAAAACAGGCACTGATTTACAAGAGAAAGAAAATTCTGCTAGCTAACAGCTGCTCAAAGCATTTGCTTGGTCCTGTGTCATTTTTCTATTGTGCATCAGCCAAAACATATGTTTGCAACTTCAGAATTAGAAAGGCAGTTTCCCTAGGGCTTTGGAAATTTTTGTCAATAAAACAAATACAATCCATTTATATAAAAAGGCAAATTTACAAGGACAAAGTGAAGTAGGGTCATTGAGGTGGGTCAGTGGGTGCTTGCTTGCCCTGCCAACTCTGACGACCTGAGCTCCACTCCTGAAACAGTAAGGGTGAAAAGAGAGAATGTCCTCTGTCATGTGATCGCAACATGGATGTGATACTGTGTGTGTGTGTGTGTGTGTGTGTGTGTGTGTGTGTGTGTGTGTATACAATAATGATGAATGTTACGTTGTTTATTTTTTATGTTTTTATTTTATATGTATGGGTGTTTTGCTTGCATTTATATCTGGGCGCCACATGCATGCAGTGCCCACAAAGGTCAGAAGAGGACACAGGATGCCCTAGAACTAGAGTTAGAGACAACTGTTAAGCTGCCATGTGAGTGATCGGAACCAACCCCAGGTCTTCTGGAAGAGCAACCAGTGCTCCTAACTCCAGCTCTAAAAAAAAAATTTTTTTTTCAAAGACTGACTGGGTAATGTTTTCTCTCAGGCTGTAATTGGAAATGGTGGTTAACACCATTAGACACAAGAAATTTAGAGAACAGCGGTGATAGAAAAATTCTGAAACTAGATTATATTCCTGGCTATACAGACCACTAACTTTAAAAATACTTTATTGTACACTTTTACTGGTAAATCTCATGAGATAGATAAAAATTATACCACAATGAAACTTTGTAAAAGCAACAGAAGTAGCAGCCTGGTACACACTGCTTCCAGGAAGATGCCATGTGCACTGCTGGAGAAAAGGAAAAGTCCATCCAAAGGGCACCAGGGAGGAGCAGACAACAAACACGAGGCAAAAGCAGTCGAAGAAACTAGGTGTCCTCCATGTACGGAGGCCACTGCCAAGCAATTTACTCTCAAGATACTGACAAATTAATGTCCCAGGGAAGGCACAGCAGAAATTTATCGAAGGCATTTTAAAGTCATTTGCAGTCCCTTATTACCACATACTTGACATCTGACCAAGCCAAGTTAGAAAACATAAGAAAAACAGCATGATTTAAAGATGCGTTGTATATGCCCATCGGTGAGAGTGAGAAGCTTGACTCTTGCAGTCTTGGGAACCAGCACATTTGCTTCCCTCTCTACTGCCTTCCCTTTCCTTTAAAATTAGACAACCAAAGGAACATCATCATTCATCTGACTGCACTAATTTAATAAAAAAAAATTAACTTGTTCAGTGTAGTATCAATTGTAAACAAATCTTTTGTGCAGTGTCTGCGTGTGTGTGTGTGTGTGTGTGTGTGTGTGTGTGTGTGTGTGTGTGTGTGTGTAGCAGTCAAAGGTCAACTCCGGGATCAGTTCTCTCCTTCCGCCACATGGTTTCTGGGGACTGAACTCAACCTGTCAGATGACAGCAAGTGCCTTTACTCACCGAGCCACCTCTCTGGCACAAAATTGAATCTTAAAATAAAAACAACCTGCCAAACACTTCATTTCTTACAAGTTTTATATATTATTCTCATTTTGAAATTTAATCATGAATAAAGAAAATGCCCATACATACATACATACATTTTTAAATGGAATTATACTATCCCTTCTATCACAACCATGCATGAAAAATACTGGGCAAATTATGAGATACAGAAACATGCACAGGCTAGTGCACTAGGGTAAGAAAAAAAAAAAAGATCTACTTGGTGGCAATTAGGAACAACCTAGACTAGAAACTCAAATATGTAGAAGAGCATGATATACGGCTCTCCAGACACCTGCCGACACTTATATTTACATTGTTCTCTAGAGAGTGTAATTGTGTTTACCTAGGTTTAATATTGGCTTCTGTTGGCTTGCTGGAGTCTGTAGAAGTAGCAAAGCAATTCCAATAATGACCAATTTCACAGGAAAATCCTAAAAATATGAACAAATAAAAAGGTTTATTAAGGAGGATCCAGGAACTATGGCTTTACATGTACCCAAGAAAAGTGTATTTCACTAAGCAGTTGTAAACCCTGTGCAGAGTGTCTCACGAAGTCTGCCCTACTGAAGAAATAACTAGCAAATGGCACACAGAGTAAGTTCAGTGTTAAATACGGCCTAAAAAACAACAGACTTAAACCAAAATCATTCCAAGAGGAAACGTTTGAGTTTCGCTTCACTCCTCCCGGCTTTGTTGGTTTGGTTTGGTAAGGAAGAAAACTTCCTATCACAAGTCTTCAGAGGAGTGAGTCCTCATGAACCACTGCAACAGCCGTGATGCACTTAGGACATTTCATTAGGAAAAAGTAGCCACATCTTTCTACTTACCTAACATTAGACACAATTCATCTATATAAGTTACAAAATAAATTACATGAAATATAGTTTCATAAACTATACCATAAAAAAGAAATATTAATGTGAAGGAGATAGGGATTGTACTATAAAAAACTAAGTACTAGTGTGAAAAAAGGTAGGGATTGTAATTTATCAAGCATATTTAAATGTAACAAGGAAATAACCATGGAATATAAAAATCATTAAGTTCAGCAAGGATATAACTAAAGTGAAGAAGACATGTTCAGTAAGTTCTAATCAAGATAACAGAAGATCAAAACAAGAAAAATAAAGTAACTTTAGTCCATTCAGAAATTTCACAGAAGAGCCTACAGAATCAAATTTTGAGGATGAAGACAGACAAGAAAGAAGAAAAAAATGGGGGGACAAACATATGACCGAGCCACATGGTAAAAAAACAGATGAGGGAAAACAACTGTAGCAGATCCGGCAGAAGCAAAACTCTGCGGGACCCTACCAATTCTGGCATAAATCAATAACCCCCTCCATCTCACCTTTACCACCGCCAGAATGAAACTGAACTCTAAAATCTTCTAGATCCCTGCTTTGTGGGCTTAAAAAACAAAACATCCAAAAAAAAAAAAAGAAAAAAAGAAAAGAAAGAAAGAAACTAATTAAACTCTGCGGATGAAACATGTGCCAGTTTGTGTCTTTTGTAATTATTTATGTTCACTGCTTTGGAATACAGTTGAAAGCAAGCAGTGCATATTATCAAAGGACAATAATCACTTTTGAAACCAATATGCTCATGATGTATACCATCGTACCATTTTCCACATATTTCCTTTAATTTCATACCATTTTCTACCATATTTCCCTTAATTTCTATATGTCCACATTAAAAAGGAAGGTAGGAAAAGTATTTACATTCCAAATTTGGAAATGTCCAAGAGGTTCATAGACAAAGCATGACAGAGTGCACTCATGACTTGGCTGAATGCCTCCTTCATACCAGCTGTCGTTGAAAAAGGGGGGGGGGGACATCTTAAGTTTTAAAACAGAGCAGAAGCTTTTCAAGGGCTAGAACTTAAAGATAAGTAATCATAAATGGCAGTGACCTTCTCTAGGATGCGTGAGACCAGCCCACGCAGAACAGAGAGCAAGAGAGAAAGAGCTGCAGATTTGGGATATCAAAAATGTAGGAAAAGTGAATGGTGCAGGATTAAAAGAAGTATATTTTAAGTTGCCTTACAAATTTTTGTTTTTGTTTGTCTGATTGACAGGCACCAGAACATAGTAAAGTGTATTGAACTCTTTATTTTTTAATTTATTATTTGAGAATTTCATATACATATTCAATGAAATATGATCATATCCTCCCGAATTTATCCCCTCCTCCTCCACTGGACTACCCTCCTCACAAAACATAACTCCGCAGTTTCATGCCCTCCTCTCCCTCTCTCTCTCTCCCTCTCTCCCCCATTAACCATTAAAATTAACCCCCTCTAAATTAACCCATTCATTCCTATTAGTGTTGCCCATATGTGCATGGGTGTGGGGCCATCCACTGGAACATGGACCAGCGACCACACCACTCTGCTGGCATTTCTCAGGCCTCTTCCACTAACTACAACTATTTCTGCCATAACATAAACGTGCTCTGCACAGCATCAACCTGAACATTTCCCCATATGGCCCCACAACACCACTCTTCACTTTCTGTCCCCAAACTTCAAGCTCTAGATGTTCAATTCCCACAGGGGACAGCTTCAAACTGGCAAGAGGATCATGTGGACATATGATTACTCACTGCCCTGGATCCTTCTTCATGGTCTGAAACATTCCACGAGGCTTCTGGGAAGTCTATGGAATGAAGTAACTGGTTGCTTATAGCAACAGTCATATTGCCATATTTCCCCCAGCTCCACCCTTCCCAGCCCGCTCTCTGGGATCACATGTGTAAATGAACTCTGTTCTCATACCTTCTCCGCTTCTGTGAGAACATGAGCTCCACTTGGCCTTTGGAGAAACTCAGACTAACTCAGAGCCTGGCTACAGAAAGGAGGAGTAAATGCCTTCCTAACTAGGATTCTTGGTGACAGAAAATATTTGGGATCATGCTTTTGGTCCTCAATTCAAATGAAAGATAAAAATGAACACTACCCATATGACAGGCACTAATAACATATGCGGGCCTAGGGATGCTTCTGTTAACAAGACAGCCCCTCTTCTCAAGAATTTTACCAACTTAGTCATGGAAATGTCTTTTAAAAGAAAGTAAAAAGAGGGTGTAACAAAGTTTGCCTCCTGCAGAAGACACAAAGGTGAGGGCAATTCCGCTCACACACTCCCCAAAAACCACAAACTTGCTTCAGCCCCTGTCCTCTGCAGAGTGGGCTCCCCCAACTATGCCCACAGACCATTCTTCTTAGGAATTCTTCAAATGATTCACACAAAACAGAAAGGTGAAGCGAGTCATCCAGTGAAGGTTTCTTAGAAACAGCCAGTCCCTAACCTTTGTAAAGCTACCATCTGTAGTCTGTTCTACTCCTAGAGAAACTACCCAGTTTCCTCTACATCGATATGTTTGCTTAATTTTGTTGATAGGAGTAAATTATTTTGCTTGAAATGGAAAGGCCTTAGAGACAAACATCTGAATTGATAGGTGAATGGCTCACCCAAAGCCAAATCTAGCAAACCACACAGTCTGAGAAAGAGGCCTAAAGTGTGTAAGGACACTCTTCCCACAGAAAAGCTGAGAGAACAAAAAGAAGAGAAAGGGTACAGTAGTAATATTTAAACTGAAGATGCAGCAGATGAACCCAGCAGAATAGTGATGGATGATAGCCTCAAAATACGTAAGAAGGCTACTTTATTCTCCTTCAAATCAATATGCATCTAGGCATTAAAGGTTCTCAAATTAAATTTCAACATTTTTTTAACCTCAGGAATATTAGCATGAGGATAAGCAACAAGAAGCTTCATAACAAGCATATACATATATATATATATGTATATGTATATGTATATATGCATTTTATGTATAATACATATATAATAGTCTAGTCTGTTTGGTTTTGGGCTTTTTGTTTTTTGTTGTTGTTGTTTTGGGTGTTTGTTTGTTTGTTTGTTTGTTTGTTTGTTTGTTTTTGACACAGGATCTCACTAGGTTGCTCTGGCTAGCCCGGAACTTACTATGTAGACCAGGCTGGCCTCCAACTCAGAGATCCACCTGACTGCATTCTGAGTGCTGGGATTAAAGGCATGTACCACCACATTCAGCATTTGTTTTTGTTTTCAGGTATGATCTCACTCTGTAAGCGAGAGGGATTTAGATCTCACTATCTCAGCCTGGCTCCAAATTTACAGCAATCCTCCTGCCTCAGCACCCATGTGGTAGGATTACAGATGTGAGGCATCACACTTGTTTCCCATTACACTATAAATGAGGTCCTATAAAAACATTTATCTTACTCTATTAGAATTACTTATTTACGTGCTTCTATCTTGAGATCACAGAAAATGTGTAGGTTCTTGAATATAACACTTGTTCAATATTTATACTACATATGAATAAATAGGAGTGAGGTAGACCTTTAAGTGATAACATAAGATTATTTAATAATTCATTTTTAATAAATATCTGTAGTAGTATGATCTAATCGCATAAGATCAAATCACCTCAAACATACAATAAACTACATAAACACGACCACCCAGTTTCTCAAAGATTTTCTAAAGTGATAATTAGCACATTGAAGGTTTATGTTGGCCTTACCTCCCCAAGAACTTCAATGCTGCGCTCTAAAAGTTGAATTAAAGATGAGCATTCCCCAGTTATCTTTAAACTGACTTCACAGATACACAGCAGCTGGAGGGTGAGTTGGGTAAGCTGACTTTTCCAGAACACAGGATGGCGCAGAAGGCTTAGAAACACTTCCTCAATGAACAGCATCATCTCTGTTGTCTGAGTCAGATCTTTCATCTGTTGAAGGAAGTCATACTGGTTAAAATTATAAAATCACTTCAAGTTGTACAAGAAGTCTTCAACAGAATAACGTTCTCTAAAGCGATCGAAACGTGAAGATGTAGTGATGCAGCCGTGAGGGTTCCACTCCACAGCTCTGCCTTCTCCTTTGGTCACTAACTACAGTACAACTGTTGCTGCCTTTGCAGCCTTGTCTCACACAGTAAGGCTGCCCACACAAACTCCTGCTATTTTTCTAGCTTCTGTGAAAAAAAGATGTCTTAGACAAATGGTATACAGTGCCTACATGTCAAAGGCCATCACCTCAAAGCTGGTTTTCAATTCTCCTACAATTTAACACAGACACCTGGTCATAAGGTCAGCATGTTATCCCCATACACTACGCTCTCCCTCTACAAGCCTTAGCTGAAGCATCCTTCAGCACAGTGGAGAATGTAATAAAAGACCATCTTTAAATGAGAGTTGTCTTCTCAACAGGAAGGACTTGGGTGCCCTTGAAAAATCCCAATTCAATTTACACCCTGCTGTTCTGTTCAAATTCTGGATTCAGTATTAAGGGTGTGGTCCTGCTCAGAGCAACTGTGGTATTTCCCAGGGATTATAAACAATGAAGCATCTGCTCCAGTCAGGATGCTTGTGTGTGGTAAGTTCATCAAGAGAAAAGCCTGCAGTTTCTCCACTGCTTACCACCCCTTCGAAAAAGAGACATCAACACAAGTTATACCCAAATAGAATTCCTAGAAAATCAGAAAAATTCCAAAAGATGAAGGGGGAAGAAAGAACACGAACACACACACACACACAATCAAAAATAAAGTATCAGCAGCCCAATAACTGAATTATTTTATTCTCTTTTAATGATATGTATGTATTTACTGTGTGTGCAGGTGTGCACGTACGCAATGTGGCGCACAGGTGGAGGTCACAGGACAAGCTGCAGGAGTTGGTGCTCTCCTTCGTCCACATGGAGCCCAGAAATCAAACTTGGGCCAGCAGGCTTGGTGGCAAACGCTTTTACCTGCTGGGCCATCTCACTGACCCTATTTTGTTCTTTTGCAAACATAAAGCAAAAAAAGTTTAAAGGGTACTTACAAAGAGATGGACTAAACACAAAAGCCTGGTGTTCAGATGGTTTTTATTTCCTTGAGTGTATTCATTTTGTATACTGGAAATTTTCCATTAAAAAAATAATCTCAACAGATTAGCTATAAAAGTTCTCTAGTCCACCATTATCAAATTCTTAAGAATAAATTCAAAGTAATGTTCTATCTCTATGTAAAAATAGATCACGAGGCATGGATAATGTATAATGTGACAAGAATCATTTAAAATAAAAACCAGTTGCACAAACATAAAATGGAAAGGCAACCAGTTGAGGAAGAAACTAAGCAGGTGTCTCACTGACCTCTCTCATCCTAAATCAACAGGAGTAAAGGGGGGGGGGGATTTCTCAAAACATAGTAACTTCAATGTGCTTCCTTCCTAGTGTCCAGTATGGATTGGGCCATGTCCACAACACTGCATTCACCTCTGAGAAGAGCATTTCTCATCAACTAGCACATTTCCTGCACCTACTGGTATACTAAAGCAATGGATAGTGAAAATTCTAGAAGCCATTTCATGGGAAGAGGTGGTTTTTGTTTTCATTTCTTTGTAATGATGCCCAAGCATGCAAGAAAGATAGGAAGAAAAAGAGAAAGTACAAACACAGAGAGGAGTTAAGTTTAAGGCTCGTGTTTTGTTATAGAGGAAGAGGATACTAGTGGGCAATTGTTTAATGCAGATCAACAGAAGTGCTTGAAAACAGTGTCCTTCTCAGAAGTATATGCATTAGCTTCGGAGCTTATTGTTTGAAGACTATAAAAATACCTTCCACAAGTGAAGAACTAGATTATGCAGTCTCTATGACTCCTAATTCTCATTCTTTCTCTTAATAAAACAAATTTGTTGCATGAATAAACGTGACATTTTTCTTTTTTCTCACATATCTCAGTTACAGTTAAAAAAAAGGGGGGGGGGCGGTGCTCAAAACCATTCCAAAGTGTGCTTCTACAAGCATCTAAGCTTTCCATGAAGAAAGCAAACATTTGCCAAGCCACACAGAACATGGTAATAAAGACATGGTCGGAAAAACGCCCCAGTTGAAGACCTTCTGCCTATATATGCTTTATTACCCACGCAAAACAAAGGCTTTAGAAAAGCCACTGGAGAATTCATTTTAATTAACTTTCCTCTGCCTTGATTACAGGAAAGCACATTTATGAGTCACAGAGGAAAGATTCACTCTAGCCACTCCTTGCTAACACAGACTTAAAACAGGTCATCTGTGACCCAAAGTGATCACTTTGAAATATATCCTCAGATTCTTTCCATCAGCTGAGCAGCATGGCGCTCTGATCCCCACTAATGGCCTGACCTTGATCATGGGATGGGATAGCCTGACAAATGAACCACTACACTAAAATCACAGCCCACTGGCAACTGCATGGTTTTTAATCTGCAGTCATAGAGACAGGAACTAGAATCTCTCCCTCCCCTCAACACCTTAGCTCTTTACTCATAACTCTATACCTTGATCGACTGTCCATAAGGAATTATGAAAAGTGACATACTAACACACTTCTTACACTGTGAGTTTCTGAAGAGCAAGAGCAAGAGACAACAATGGATCCTAAAGGGACAAGTAGAAATTCAAACGTAGCACTCAGCAGGCCAAGTTCTGCATCCTCAGAATCGACCTACTCACAGACACGCTTTTTGTTCAGTTGGCACAGGAGTGTTTTATTTTGTTCTGTTTTTCTTCTACCTCCTAGTATCCAGCACAAAAAGAAGCTCAAAAATTCCCTAATGAGTCTGAAAGGAGTCTTCATTGCTACTAATCCTAAAAGGACCAATATTGATTTATACTTCAGTGAATTTAATACAGTTAATACAGTATGTACTATTAAATCTGGATTTAATTCCTTTGTATTCCTTAAGATAGTGCCAGCATTTCTAGCCGGTCTTGCCCAATCACACAGGATCAAGAACTACCTTGTGTGAACTAACAATCGTCAACACTTACTGGCGCTGATAATCATATTAGGGGAGGAAAATGAACAATGAAGAGGAGCCTTACCTGCAAGCACGGAATCATGTTACAGCACAGCTGAAGCATGTGCTGTTCCAGGACTGAAGGCTGTGCTTCGTCACAAAGACCTCTGGGTTGAAGCAAGACTTTGAGCAGGGACAGCCGGAGCTTAGCGTATTCTTGTAACTGGGATGGTTCACAATAGAGATACCACAGAAATGGTGCCATTATTTGAATAAATGAAACTTCTGACCTGCAAGTCAAGTAACGTGTCAGTCAGTCAGTGAGTTAATGTCATCAGAAGAAACAGCTCTCACCTCAAGAAAATAAAAGACAAGGTTTACTCAGGAGCCAAATCCGAGTGACCATGACCCAGAAACACACATTTAGTTCTCTCCAGTGAGGAAACATTTTCATAGAGTTTGTGTACTAATCAAGCCAAGAAAGTTAAAAATCCAATCATTTTTAAAATGCACTGGTGCAAACATCGGAGAGGCAGTTACAGCACAATGGAGGAGTCTCTCCTATAGGCCTGAGATGCGATGGTGATTTCATAGCTTTGGGGATGGTGAACGCTGGTGGACTGCTATGTTAATAAATTCCCAAAGGTTGTCTGCTGTAAGATGTTAGGACCAAAACAGAGGTGGACAAGGAATGCTATTCATGGGGCTAAAGCTAGCCTAAAATAAACTGGAATTGGACTCTGGACCTGCAACATCTCCCCTCTCCACATCACGGAAGTTGTAAACAGGCAATCAGTCTTTGCAGACACAGCTCCTTTCCAGGAATTCCCCTACACACTATCAAGCAGTAAGTGGCACATATCAACCTGCAGCTGTGGCACATCCTAAACTGCACTAGCCTAAAGAACTGTCGGACATGCCGTGACCTAATGGGATCTTGAAGGGAATGACTCAAGAGAAGGAGGCACTAAGCCAGGTTCCCAGACTAAAGGACACTTCTGCTTTACAATAGTGGCAGCACTCCAAAACCAGTCTACAGTGAGTATCAGAACCAACAGAGAACACTTATTAGAATTACAGACATCAGGATCTTTTCTCCAGGGGCATCACACAGGCATGCATTTGTAAGAAAACTCTGCAGATAAAATAAATCCATACAACTATCCTATTATTGTGGCAGTTCAAATTTATAGCATTCCATGGTTTTCTTTTTCATAATTTTAATTACCATCAGTCAGCCACAATCAGAAACTAATTAATGGAAAGTTCCAGAAATAAACAACTGCTAAATTTTTAGTTGTACACATACTGACTAGCATGAGAAGGTTCCAAACCATCCCACTCTGTTCCTCCAGGACATAGACCAAATATGCTATGCATGGTCCTCTAGGCCAGTAGTTCTCAACCTGTGGGTCACAACCCCTATGGGGAATGAGCAACCCTTTCATGAGGGTCACATATCAACTATCATGCATATGAGATATTTACATTACGATTCATAACAGTAGCAAAATCACACTTATAAAGTAGCAATGAAATAATTGTATGGCTGAGGAACTGTATTAAAGGGTCACAGCATTAGGAAGGTTGAGAACCACTGCTCTAGGCCATCGTGAGTTTCTTGGCAGCCATCCTGGTGTCAGATCAACTGTCATGGTAGTTTTCATAATACTGCCTGTGCCCAAGGAACCCTTACTTTATTCACTAATGACACCAACGAAGGAGAACAGTTGTTATGGCAGTTTGGAAGTGCCAAAGACAAGCCATAAAGAGCTTCCTTTTATGAACAAGTGATAGTGCTCAATGAAGAATAAAATCACATGCTAAAGTTATTAATATCTGTGATAAATAACTGTTAACCTTTAGCTTTTTTAGTAAGTAGCATCTCTCTATTACACATACTTCAATTTTATCCATCATTTTAGGCATCCACTGGATGTCTTGATATTAGTGTTCCCCACCATGGATATGTGGAGCTACTTTATTGTTACCTTGTTAACCTACAGAATATAAAAGTAATTCCACTTTACAGCTTGAACTTACTTGATCCTTACTAGAGCCATAGATAGATAGATAGATAGATAGATAGATAGATAGATAGATAGATAGATAGATAGATAGATAGATAGATAGACAGATGATAGAGATAGAGAGACAGAGATTGTGTGTGTGTGTGTGTGTGTGTGTGTGTGTGTGTGTGTGTGTGTGTGTGTGTGTGTCTGATACACAGCTACAGAAACTGAGAGATGAATGAAGTAGTTGCCTACAACCTCTTCTTAGGAATCTCCAACTCAAAGGAGATAATGAATCAACATACCTTTAATATCTATTTAGATTCATTATATTACAATAAGTCCTAATCCCACGACATCATAATGCCAGAATGACCTTCAAGGATAAAATAAAAACCTGACCATATCATTAACCAATTGAAAACAGTTTCTCCTATGACAAAAGAGTGAACTGAATTGTGACACCTCCATGGTTCAGCCTCTGCCTATCTTGCCAGCCTCACTCTCCACTGAATAATTACACTTATTTCAGGTCTTCAATCACCCCACTGGGCCCCCAACTTGCTGGTCTTTCTATTTCTATCATCCTCCCGTTCTCCACTTTTCAATGACTGCCTGGAGTCCTTTTCCTTCCCTGACAGGTGGTCTGTGGTCAGATCACCATTACGTGCTTCCACGGCACAACTGTTGGTTATCATGGCATGTGTAGTATTTACATCCCTTGCCAAACTATAATTCAAATGAGGACACAGACCATAGATTTCTGTTTACCGCCGTATCACCAAGACTGTATGCACCAGGCCTTCAAAGAGATGTGCAATCGATTAATGTGGTTACATAAAGTCACAGATGCTCAAAATTAGCATGCATCATTCAAATATGACCTTATTCTTTTTCATTCTATTCAGTGTCTTCATTTATTATTTGTAAGAACTGATTAACTATGATATAAAACTGAACTAAGCATTCTATTTTTTTTAATGTAAGTGATATTGTATTGTTGCGCTTCATTAGTGATAAAGTACTATTTAAAAATTTCCCTGGCTCCATCTTTTCTGCATTTCCAAAGTTCTGTGATGATTCGGTACTATCACAGTGAGATATACAATCACCTGGGCAATAAAAAGGAACAGAAAAAAACAAACAGCCCAAATCCCAAAGTGATGAAGAATATTTAAAATGGGGACCAATGTACATCTGTAGATATGTCTTCTCTATTTATGATCTCCACTGAAGAAGACACAGTAGAAAATACCTAAAATAAGGCTCTAGGCCCCCCTGTGGCACCAACTTAGCCTGTAAAAAGCCATGCAATATGTTCTTCCTAGTTCCCTGTTCTCAAAACCCATGTGCTAGGCTAATAACCTGAAGGTACCAGACCTAAACTCCACAACACTGTTAATTTATATAGTTCTAGGCTCCTAAAAAGTGAAAGTGAAAGCACAGCACAGGTTTTCAGTAAATGAAAGTAGAACTTGCTATAAATACCGCCCAAAAGATCTAGCATGAGGATATATTGACATTTCAGTATATCTGACTTAAGTATCTAGTTTAATCAATAGGTCCTAACATGGAAAGAACCAGAATGTCTTTACATTTTGACTCCTTCACACGACTGTGGAGCACTGCTCCTGTTCTTATTAAACTACCAACCTACCTGTATTACCTTCTAGACAACAACTTAGAGTTACTGCTCCTAAAATTAGATCTGATGGTCTACTGAAAAAGTGCAACGAGAATTATCAATTTCATACTGCAAAGCACAAACCCATAGTGCAAGTTTAAAACGGAAATTTCCCTCTGCAGGGACAGGCATGGTAGCACATACATTTATTCCCAGCACTCAGGAATCAGAGACAAGCAGAATTCTGAGTTCAAGCCCAACCTGATCTACACAGTGAAGGCGAAGCTAGCCAAGGCTACATGATATTACACTATCTGGGGGGGGGGGGGGGGGGGATGTACAAAGAAATATAAAACAATTTAAAACTTCTATACAGCTCAAAGAAACTTCATTAAGCAAATACTTATAAATTTATTTGGGTTTTTGTTTGTTTCTGACAGAGTTAAAGAAAGGTTTATCTAGTAACTATTAATATAGCTATGAAAAAACACTTGTGGTGAAGGTGATAATTTTGAACCACCTTCTTGTAGCTGATTACAAGATACTGCAGTCTGAATGTTTCTACGGTAAGATAACCTTCAACCCATTTATGGGATTTGTTCACAAAAATTTGAGATTTATAAGGCACCTACAAATGTTCTGAGCATTATGAAGACAAGACAATGGAATAGGATCTCTATCCTCCAAACAGTTTTAAAGATGGCAGCAGAAAGTAAAACCAAAAGTAAGTTTAACGGCATTACAAATCAAACTGTGAGCTGTCGTGGGAACACAAAAGAGAGGCAACTCACCATCTGCAATGAGCAAAGACGAAGAACAAAATGCAAAGGAATACAGAGAACTTGGTTGGGGAATGGAATAAAATTCAACAGAAGTAGGTTTAATAACAGCTATTCTCTACTGGATAATTCAACAACCAACACACCTGGCAGATCATGTTCTCTTACTGCTAAAAGAAAAGAGAAGGTACGGCCAGCTCCAGAACATTCATAGTCACAACAGCTAACACAAGAACAACACACAGCCCCAGCTCTAAAATTAGCACACGCCATTCCGTGTCCTTCATTTATTTTATTTCATGTTACCTTTCAGGGCATTGCTGGAAGAAAGCTGTCAGCTGCTGCAGGAGTAGTGGCCAGCAATCAGGCCTGTGTTCAAGCACGGTGATCAAAGGCTGAGGAGGATTTCTGAGAAACACAGAAAATCACATTGTTAACTGTCATTTCAGGAGCACACATTCTCTCTATCCAAATACAGCAGCAAAAAACCCAATGCCAGCTGCAGACATTTTCCAGGATCTCTAATGTCACAAAACTATCACTTCCTGAACTAGGGAGGTGGTTCTTAGCAACTGACTTTCCCAAATTTTATCTAATTCCTCTCCTAAAAGAAAATGGATCCAGAATCTCAGAGGTCTAAATTTAAGAATGGATCCTGCAATTTAATAGCTCAGACTCTGGCCGGTTCCCTAAATCCAGTAGTTCTCTCCAAACTCCCCTGATGTCTTCATTCCTCCTCCTACTGGCCCTCCCATGCAGGTAAGTTTCCCTTTCCTCTCCAATAGTCTAGCTTGTCAGCACCAACTGTCTTCTGTTCTCGGTTTTGTTTTGTTTTATGCTTATTTTTATTTTATGCATGTCTGTGAACCATGTATATCCAGTGTCTGGAGGCCAGAAGTTTTTGGATCCTCAGGATCTGGGATTACAGGTAGTTGGTAGCCGCAGTGAGTGCTGGGAATTGAATCCCCAGTCCTCTGCAAGAACAGCCAGCACTTTTACCACTGAGGCATGTCTCCAGTCCATTCTCATCTTTCTCTACCTTCTCAGTACAAGATTCTGTATCCTCAGCACATTTAGGGTATAGAAAAAGACAATATTTCTCCCTCTCAAGTAGCAAAGTATCTAAACAGAAAAGCTTAAAACTACTGTTACGCAGGGAGTTACAGTAGCTGGCCTATTTCCGTTAAGATATCTATAAAGGCTTTATTGACCACAGGATCTGAAATCTGGAAGATTCTCAGAGAACGGGCTTTAGAAAGAATGAAAAACCACAACTCATTTTTTTTTTCAATAGTTCAAAAGCCTAATAATAATTGTAAATGTACCACTGTGGTTTTGTTTTAACTTTACATTTATTTATGCATTTGGGGAGGAAAGGCATGTTGGAGTGAATGTGGAGATCAAAGGGCAACTCCTGAGAGGCAGGTCCCCCTTCCACCACGTGGGCTCTAGGGACTGAACTCAAGTCACCAGGCTTGGCAGCAGGTAAGGTAGATAAATATTTCCTTAAACGTATTTATGTAATGCTAGGGATCAAGACCAGGGCCTCGGGGGTGCTAGGCAAGCACTTCACCACTGAGCCACATCTGTAGTCTTCAAGTGACTTCTTAGAGATATCCCTCTTGATTCTTTTTAAATTTTTATTTCTTTGTGTATGGAGGAAGGGGCATGTGTACCATGGAGCATGAGTGGAAGTCATGGGACACTTTTGAGAGTCAGTTCTTGCCTTATTCTCTTATTTCTGCGGCACAATATACTGCAGACTGACTAGGTGGCTGAGCGGCTTCCAGGCAATTCTCCTGTCTCCACTCCCCATCTCCACAGAGGAGTGGGAACACTAATGTACTCTACTGCATCTGGCTTTGTGAGTTCCAGGAATGGACTCAGGCCATCAGGCTTGCAAGAGTTTTTCCTCACTGAGCCATCACCAGCCTTGTAAAGGTGTAGTCCAGCCTGAACTCAGAATCATAATCCTCCTGCCTCTTCAACACACTCTACCAACATGTACCACTGCAACTGTTTCTTCTTGGTTCTTAAAGCAGGGCAGCTTTTCCAGCACATCAGCATCATCAACTAGAAACTGAGAAACACAGATCCCTACAACCCACCCAGATTTAACAGAGTCCTACTATAAAGCACTGATTCCAACCAGAGCTGCAGCTCAGAGTGGAACTCTTGCCCAATGCCTAGTCTCAGTTACCTTGGGGTTGCTGGGAATGCTGTAAATGCATTACCAACATTAATAAAACTCTATAGGTGGTTCTAATATGCTCTACACTTTGACAGCTGCTACAAGGTAAAAACCTCTGATGAAGGAAGTCAGGATAGGGCTTTTTCTGATTTATTCTGTCTTTTACAAAGAAAAAAGTCTGGTAGATCTATCGCACTTAAATACAAGGTTTGTGTTAAATACCTCTGTGCAGTCCTCCAGAACTTCTGGCTATTATACCTTCATCTCTTTATTTTCGCTTACCTACTCTACCATGCACTTACCTCATAGGCTAGCAACCTGCTTATTAAAACACAGGCTATTTCTGACTGCCAGATTACCACCATTGCTAAGAAATGGTTCCACAGAACTTTTTATGCTAAACCTCAAAATACACATCAAAATCATGTGTACAAATGCCAAACACTTGGGACAGATACACCAATCCAGAATCACCTTCCATTCTGGTTGTCACAGATATGAAGTCCAGACACTCCCAAGTCCTAAACACCACTCAGCACATCACAGCAGAACAAGGTCTTAGACACTAACTGCTATTACTGTTTCTACATGTTCTGATTAGCACATTGATGTAAGGAACTTTGTACAGGCCCACTCACTAATCCTCCAGCTAAGGATGACCTTCATGGCTGCTTAAGAAGAAAATCTGGCCCTCTCTTTCCTTTCCACTCCTTCATCTGTTCTCTTTCTCTCTCTCTCTCTCTCTCTCTCTCTCTCTCTCTCTCTCTCTCTCTCCTTCCCTCCCTCCCTCCCTCCCTCTCTTCCCCTCTCTCCCAATAAAGCTCTAAAAAGGTTAAAAGAAGAAGGAGGAGGAGGAGGAAGAGGAAGAAGAAGAAGAAGAAGAAGAAGAAGAAGAAGAAGAAGAAGAAGAAGAAGAAGAAGAAGAAGAAGAAGAAGAAGAAGAAGAAGAAAATCTGAGAAGTTAACAACAGTTTTTGTGCAATCACAAAGCTCTGAAATGCTTCCCAATTACTCTCTTAAAAATCAGATCCTGGGGTGGCATTGGAGACTCGTTAGAGGAAAGATGGAAGACTTCCAGGCTTCTGAGGAGACTGCATTTGTTGTTGATGAAGTGAGCAACACTGTAAAGGAGGCTATAGAAAGTGCCATAGGGGGCAATGCCTACCAGCACAGCAAAGTCAACCAGTGGACCACAAACGTCGTGGAGCAGACTTTGAGCCACCTCACTAAGCTGGGGAAGCCATTTAAATACATTGTGACCTGCGTGATCATGCAGAAGAACGGAGCTGGGTTACACACCGCCAGTTCCTGCTTCTGGAACAGCACTACGGACGGGAGCTGCACGGTCTGATGGGAGAACAAGACCGTGTGCTGTATCATCAGCGCCTTCGGCCTGTCCAGCTGACCTCCTCGCCAGCCTGCAGCCTCCTGTGTCTCCGCATTTCTGTTTCATCTTAACCACCAGCTAGGAATAGGGCAAACACCCTCCTCCTCTCTAAGTGTGTTTTGTGGCACTCTCGAAACATAGAGAAATAAACCAAATGACTCCACGGTCCTAGGGACCGCACGATGTCACACAGATGAGCAGCCACTAGTCACTGGAGGCTGGCAGAACGACTTGTCTTAACTATCTCTTTTCAAAGGTGCTAAAAACCCAAGTCTGCTAGGAGGAAACTTTCTCTACTTTCTGAAACGATTCAGATACACTAATTTTCCATACTTTATACTTTTGTTAGAATAATAAATTATTCAAAATTTTAAAAAAAAAATCAGATCCTGGGGCTGGAGAGATGGCTCAGCAGTTAGGAGCACTGGCTGCTCTTCCAGAGGATCTGGGTTCAATTCCAAACACCCACATGGCAGCTCAAAACTGGCTGTAACTTCAGTTCCAGGGGATCTGGCACCCAAACATGAACAAACATGCAAGCAAAACACCAATGCACATGAAATAATTTTTTTCTTATTTATTTTTTGTATTTTATAATTTAATTTTACATATCGGCCACGGATTCCCTTGTCCTCCCCTCTCCCGCCCCCCTTCCCCCAGCCCACCCCCCATTCCCATCTCCTCCAGGGCAAAGACTCCCCTGAGGATTGAGTTCAACCTGGTAGATTCAGTCCAGGCAGGTCCAGTCCCCTCCTCCCAGGCTGAGCCAAGCATCCCTGCATAAGCCCCAGGTTCCAAACAGCCAGCTCATGCACTGAGTACAGGACCCGGTCCCACTGCCTGGATGCCTCCAAAACAGATCAAGCTAATCAACTGTCTCACTTATTCAGAGGGCCTGATCCAGTTGGGAGCTCCTCAGCTATTGGTTCATAGTTTATGTGTTTCCATTCGTTTGGCTATTTGTCCCTGTGCTTTTTCCAACCTTGGTTTCAACAATTCTCACTCATATAAACCCTCCTCTTTCTCGCCAACTGGACTCCTGGAGCTCCACCTGGGGCCTGGCAGTGGTTCTCTGCATCCAGTTCCCTCAGTCATTGGATGGGGTTTCTAGCACAACAATTAGGGTGTTTGGCCATCCTATCACCAGAGTAGGTCAGTTTGGTCTGTCTCTCAACCACTGCCAGTAGTCTATTGTGGAGGTATCTTTGTGGATTTCTGTGGGCCTCTCTAGCACTTTGCTTCTTCCTATTCTCATGTGGTCTTCATTTATCATGGTCTCTTATTCCTTGTTTTCCCTCTCTGTTCTTGATCCAGCTGGGATCTCCCACTCCCCTAAGCTCTCTTTCCCTCAACCCTCGCCCTTCATTACCCCCACTCATGTCCAGGTTGTTCATGTAGATCTCATCCATTTCTCTGTCATTGGGCGATCCCTGTGTCTTTCTTGGGGTCCTGTTTTCTAGGTAGCCTCCCTGGAGTTGTGAGTAGCAGTCTATTCATCCTTTGTTTTACATCTAGTATCCTCCTATGAGTGAGTACATACCATGTTTGTCTTTCTGAGTCTGGGTTACCTCACTCAGGATGATTTTTTAAAAAAAAGAAAAAGAAATCAGCTCTTTACTCCACTTCTCTTACCCTTCTTCCTGTGCCCCCCAAAAGCTACCTTATCTCCATAGTCCTCTTACCCTTCTTCTTATTCCTGTCTCTCCCACCCCCCACCCCCAAGGTAACTACTGCAGATCAAGCTGTCCCTCAAAACATATTCGAATTCAATCAGGTCAACAGAAATAAAAGACAGTCATTTTAAAATAGCAGCAATGACTCATGCACCCA